TTTAGTTAACTGTCCCGAGCCGATTCAGCTGTGGCCGGGAGGGAGTAACCGTTAGACGGGGGCTGTTTGTGATGGTTGGAGTGACAAAGAACTGCATTGCTGACATTGTTTGGGCTTACCTTTATACCTTTAAATTAACCCAAGTGTAATACAATGTACGGCTCATATTGGGCCTCGTAGCTCAATGGTGGAGCTTTGGCTGCCCAAGAGCCTTCCCTGCCGATGTAGGCTCGCTTTCACTGAGGCAACGAATCTACCACTACTGGGTCAACTGAATATCGTTAACAGATGCTTGGGGAATACAGTTTACATATCGGACGAAACGTCAGGACCTCCAGCATAGTCGCATGTGCCAATCACTATCTCAGGGTAGTTGCTTATAGAAATGCACGCGGTAACTCTTCGTGGATTTGACGTACATATATTTGTTGCAACTCAAAAGTAACGAAAAAATTGACGTCGAAATGGCCAAAAAACGGTAAGAAGTGAATAGAAAATGTGCTTAGTAAATTTTACACACCAAGTAGTTCTGAGTTGCCCTCGTATCCATCATACACCTCCACATATCCGGCCGCGCACGTTTGGAAACCCTCGACCAGATACTGTCTATCAGTGGGACGCAAATGGAATCGAGTGAAATTTAAAGAGATGTGATCACTAATTCGTGCTGCGATCCTCCACTTGCAGACGCTCGCATTAACCAGAAGTAACTCTGGAGATGAAAATTTATCAGAAGATTGCAGGAGGGTTCGTCCGCAGGCTGAGAAAATGATCGGAATAGGCGTATTGCATAAAAGACTGGCAAATTTGGAAAACATTGAATTCTACACAAACATGTAACCACCAACCCAGTTAAGTTCCACAATGGAGACTTATGCCAGCACCCTTAGACATGTTGTCATGTGGTGACTTATCGTCCTCTTTTTGGGTGCATATTTCGTATTCTGCGATTCAAGCCGACTGGAGATTGCATCGAGTGTAAACGTTACTTTAGGGTCTCATGACAGCTTATTTTTCGCATGTCTGTCTACATTTTTCGTAGTAGTAGTCATGCCTGTTTTACCATTTTGGCATCTGTTGTTTCCTAAGTATGACGCAGTCCATCGAGAATAATCCCCCTACGAAAATCTTAGTAATTCATGCTGCCATCTGGTACTTGGCAATTAAAAGTCCCACTCAATTTTCGTAATCCTTGATAACCGCTTAGTACCCGCAGTCCATTAACATGTAACAATGGCTCCCCACGGAAATATCAGTAATCAATGCCGAATTATGCCCTCAGCTTGAATTTCGTTTCTGTCCACTGTCGATTTTATTATAGTTTATTTTTGGTAATTTTAAATTTACTTTATTTTTGTTTCGATTTTTGACGACATGCGGTTGACTTTTGGCTAACAAAAGAATTAGGAAATGATTTTCGCTAAGGCGTCAATATAAAGTCGTTAATCGATTTTATCAAATTCGCGCGTTCTATCATGCAGTTATTGTTTCCTCACGGACGTATTTTTTACTTATATTATCAAACGAAAGCATATAGTTATTTACATAATCAATCCTATTATTTTATACTTCTATACGCCTGAATGCTTCGATCGTTTATTCTTTCTGCCGATATGTCATAACCCATTTTACTCCTATCACCACAGATCCCGTATTGCCTGTTATTTACAGAGTAAAAACGTGCTAGGATAAGGAGACCAAGAATGAAGTGATTGGACTTACAAGGGCAGCTGTAGAGCTTGTTCGTCTGTTTGATATCACCCTCACTGAGCTTCTTCCTCTGCCCAATTTTGGCGTTCGGGTTCTCAGACCTTATCTGTTCAGTCATTGCGAAATTGTGCATGGCCCACTGGCCGTAGTGCATAATCGAATCGTAGTCATACGGCTCGTCTAGTGAGTCTACTTCCGACGGATCCTTCTTCTCGTTGTTAGTAGTCGACAGCAAAATTTTAACATATGCTAAAAAGCAACAGTAAGGGAATTAGAATATTGGCAGTTTGCGCATATGCTACAAATATATGCAGTCAATAAATCCGAACAGAATGGTTTAAGCAGGGTTGAATTTGCGCGAGTAGTTGTATCACAAATATAAATTCATAATCGGAAACCGAAATTGATGTAAGTATTTTTCATGAAGCTTTGATAGGCGACTTAGTCTGGTATTAATGTACACGTAAAGGAGAGATCCTCAAAAACAGTTCCTACATGCATATGTTTATGTTTGAGGGCAAATAACAACTCTGGGAATAAATATGTAAATTGACCGCCTATTTCCTAACCAAAAATAGCTATTTGAATTTCGGTATTGATTATCGGGCTGCCTGTCTTCTAACGGGGTCAACAGCCAATACTCACGCGGTGAAGAAAGCGGCAGCGATCGTCAATCATATGATAGGCGCGGCGTGCTTTCTCACAGCGCTGCGAGTGAAAATCAACGGCCGATCCATCTACGGTCTCTCGAGGGGAAGGCTGACGAACAAGCCACACAGGGGCAACAGACATCACCCACGCGGGAAGGAGGCGGCAGCGATCGACAATCGTATGACCGGCGCGGCGTGCTTTCTCA